TCAACTGCTGCCGCAAGGTCCTAATGCCCCCCTTCCGCTAGTGCCAGGGCAGGCTGACCTTGCTCCTGCCCTTCCGCCTCAGACCCTTCCCTTTTCCAGCAGGACCCTTCACCAGCACAGAGGACTGCCCTGCCCACAGTCACTGCTCCTCCTCCACGCTGGACAAGGGGCAGCCCCACCCCCAGTGAGGCTACAGTGAGGGGCAGCAGCAGGAGAGGAAGCACACATGTGATGGTAGTCTCCGCCCTTGCACCCATCACAGGGGAGGCGAGGGGGCTTTCTGGACCTCAGAGGGGCTCTAGGAGCATGCACACTGGCAGTGGTATGAGGTGAGTGTGGTGCAAGGGGGAAGAGGGGAGCCCCTCCCCTGGAGCTTGCTGCTGCTGGCGGGGAGAGGGCTGGGGGGAGTCCTCCTCTCTGGCCTGCCTGTACCTCAAACTCCTAATCACCAGCCCAGAGCCCTCACCCCAACCCTCTGCCCTAGCCCTGAGTCTCCTCCCACACCGCTGCACGCCTCATCCCCAGCCCCACCCCACAGCACTGACCCCTGCACCCCAACCCTCTGCCTGAGCCCCTCCCACATCCCAAACCCCTCATCACCAGCCCCACCCCAGAGCCCTCACATTTTTACATTATTTTTAAAAATATACAGTAACTCCTCACTTAACGTTATAGTTATGTTCCTGAAAAATGCTACTTTAAACAAAATGATGTTAAGCAAATCCAATTTCCCCATAAGAATTAATGTAAAGGGGTGGGGGGTTAGGTTCCAGTGAATTTTTTTTTTGCCAGATGAAAGACTATATTTTAATACATATACACAGTATAAGTTTTAAACAAACAATTTAATACTGTACACAGCAAAGATGATTGTGAAACTTGGTTGAGGTGGTGGAGTCAGAGGGTGGGCTATTTCCCAGGGAATGCCTTACTGCTAAATGATGAATTAGCACTCTGCTGAGCCCTCAAGGGTTAACACATTATTGCTAATGTAGCCTTACACTCTACAAGGCAGCACGAATGGAGGGAGGGGAGACAGAATGGCAGAGAGACAGACAGACACAGAGTGTGTGTGTGTGAGAAGCACTGCCCATTTAAGTTGGCTGACCCCACTAAGTATATTGCCTTTTTAATTAGATCAGCAAGTTGAGACAGCAGCTGCTGCCAGCAAGCTCCCTCGGTCCTGAGCCCTGTCATGTCCCCCCACTGTTCTGTGGAGATGGGGGGCAGGAGTGGGGGAAGGGGACACCCTGACATCAGCACCCCTCTGTCCTCCTCCCCCCACCCCGCACAGCAAGCCGGAGGTTCACGGGAGCAGTTCCAAGGCAGAGGGCTAGAGCAGCACACGGCAGTGTGGGGAGGGACCCTGAACTGGCCAGCAACTGACAGCTTGCTGGGCAGCTGCCACACAGGGAACTTAGGGGAGCTGATAGGGAGGCTGCCCGCCCACCCTGGTTCCAAGCCCCCACCAGCTAGCTCCAATGGGCTGCTTTCTGTAAGTGGTGGACAAAGCAGGCAACTGCCAAACAACGTTATAAGGGAGAATTGCGCTACTTTAAAAGATCATGTTCTCTAATTCAGAGGTTCTCAAACTGTGGTCCGTGAGCTCCAGTCAGGTGGTCCGTGAGCTCCAGTCAGGTACCTGAGGGGCCGCACATGACAGAATGAAGGGCCACCCTCCTAATTAGTGGAGCTGCGCAGGCGTGGCTCCACTAATTAGGTGCCTGGACCCTGGAGAAGATGCACACGTAAGGTCAGGTGGTGGACTTGGGGGGGGAATAGGGAGGAAGTGGGAGGGGGCAGTGGTGTGAGAAGAGGGGGTTGGGGTAATTTGGGATGTGCAGAGCTGCAGTGGCCAGAGAAAGAGGCGTCTTTCCCGAGCTCCAGGGCTGCAGCTGCCAGAGAGACGGCCCTCCTTCCCAGCCTCAGCTCTGTGGCTGCTGTGGCGGGGGAGAGACCCCCCCCTCATTCCCAGCCCCAGCTTGGGGGCTTCTGCGGTGGAGGAGAGAGGGAGAGACCCCCCCACACTCCTTCCCAGCCCCAGCTTGGGGGCTGCCCCGGTGGGGGAGAGAGGGCACATCCATCACATTAGAAAGGTTAAGACTACCGATATTAAAATATGAGTTGTGTGCTTTTATGTGTAGAAGAAAAAAAACGTTAATTATTATTAATATAGCATTTTTATCCAAAGCACTTTACAATAGTTAGCTAATGGCACAAACAACATTTGGAAAGATCATTAAAGTGGTCCACCAAGACCTGCAGCTATTTTCAAGTGGTCCGCGAAAAAACAAGTTTGAGAACCACTGCCCTAATTGATCAGCAACATAACAAAACAATGTTAACCAGGACGACTTTAAGTGAGGCGTTACTGTATATTGGCTTACAAGGTAGGTGTCCGGGGGGGGGGGGGGGGTTACGGGACTTGGACCTGTTCTGGGCACCACCAAAAATTACACAAACCTGCCACTCCTGCATACAGGGAGAACACATATGCATGCAGCCGACTTATCAACATTGGATAGAGCGGAGCACCACACTGGTGACATCTGATTGCAGATGTCGTCAGACACATATTGCATGCTGTAAAAAGGAATTTAAATTTCCTGCGAAATTTTATGCCACAGAAATTGGGACCCTTGTTGCAGAATTTAGGTCCAGTATATACCACAGAACCCACAGGTCCCTGATTACAATTTACTATTATTCTGAAACATCAAACCACTGAAAACTAAGCGATTCCCAAATGTATATGAAATAGCATCTCACCTGCATCTTAATCAGGGAACTCATCAATCAGAGATGTTCTATAACTACCACCAAGAAGATCCCTCGACATTTAAATAATTGTGAAAGAAACTTTCACCCTTCCCAAGGACAGGTCAACTTTAAGATTCTGTGATTGAGAAAAGCAAATCCTACGCCAGTGAACACCTCACATCTGAGCTGTAAATCCAATCTAATGCAATTCCCAGGAAACAGATATATCCCTAAAAGCTGTTTTTCCTTATGAAGGAGAACATTTGATGAGCTGTGGCTCATAAATGTCTGGTTTACACTAAATATACCATCACGTATTTAAAACTGCTACTTCATCAGTGTGAAACGGGCTATTTGCCTTTTTAAAGGAATGATATAAATAAATGAGTGCAAGTGATAGTCAAGTAAAGAAAAAAAGAAAAAAACACTGAAAACCCACTATAAAGAATTGGAAGCCCCCATGTGGCGAATTGTGTATAATGCTTCAGGTTATTTTTAATGCACTGAAAAACTCATATTCCTTATCTACTGGTTGTTCAATACCTTACTAATACAAAGATCAGATTCACCGTCATAGTTGAAGATAGCCAGCAGACTTGTGTGATGTCTTATCAACAGGGGCAAATATTTTAGTTAATCCTCAAGTCTTTACACTGCCAACAGTACAATAATTGGAGTATTTACATTTTTAACATTCTGTCTTTCAACCACAAGTTTGTCTTGAAATATAAAACAAATTCAGTTTTGAGGGCCAAAGTATAATCTAGTCAACTGTATCAACAGTAGTTCTTGGGCCCAGATCCCCAAAGGGACTTAGATGCCTAAAGCACAGATTTATGCACCTAAATCCCAGTTTAAGGCATCACTGCAATCCACAGAAGGCCCACGTGGCTCCAGCCCAACACTGTAGGAGCCTAAACTCACTCAGCACCTAAATTTCCATTATGGACATTCCTTAGGCTCCTAAATTTGTGCTTCTGGACAAGTGCACTGCTGCCTCATTCTAGGCACCTGGACACCTATTTCCCATCCATGCCCTAGTGTGAACCACAAATCAGGGGAAGACAGATGGAAAAATGCCTGTCTCACTTCCAGGGCCCTCTCCTGTAGGCGTACTCAGACCACCCCTAACTGGATCATGCCCCATTCAAAATGTGGCAGCAGCAGGTAGTGGTGCTGCCACTGCCCACCTTATAACTTTTAGTCCAGTTGTTAGAGCACTCACCAAGGATGTGGGAGACCCTGGTTCAATTCCCCCTTCTGCCTGGTTCTGAGAAAGGATCTGAACAGGGGTCTCCCAATTCTCAGGAGAGTGCTCTAACCACAGACTATGGGATATTTTTATGTGGGGCTCCCTCAGTCTCCCCTGTTGAAGCTGTTCCACTATGTTTAATAGTTATAAAAGAGTCACTGGAGCAGGGAGACGGGAGACTGGACCCTGGGTCTCCTACCTCTCAGGTGGGTGCCCCCAACCACCAGGCTAGAGAGTCATTCTCTCACTTTCTCTTTCTGACAAAATGCCTCTGTTTATACATAGTGGACCAGCTTCAGCAGGAGACTGAGGGAGACCCATGTCAGAATATCCCATCACCCAGTAGTATGGGCACTCTCCTGAGAGCTGAGAGACTGCTGTTCAAATCCACTCTCAGAATCAGGCAGAGGGGGAAATTGAACCCGAGTCTCCCACATCCTGGATGAGTGCTATAACTGCTGACTGAACTGCACCAGCACCACCTCCTTCTTCTCTGCCCCACACCATTTTGTGTGGAGTGAGGCAGGCACCTAACTCATTCTTGCAAAAAACAGATTAGCCAGCTAAGCCATCTGATTCTAGGAGAGGGGTTCCTGACTGTGGAGTGCAAGCAGAGATAGAAGCCTGGGTTTAGGTTCCTAACTCTGTGAGAGGTGCAGGGCTTCAGATATACCTCTCTCATCAGAATGCCTGAGTCACCTTTGTGGATCTAGGCCATAATGCCTTTTATATGAGGATCTCAAGGTGCTCTACATTCATTAGGTTTCACAATACTACATGACACAGGTATTATACTCATTTTACAGAACAGTAAACTAAGGTACAGAGTTTATCAGAGATCACATATCTAAACAGTGACACAGTTAGGCACCACAATTCCGAACTCACAGTCCTCTGTTTATAATCAATCAACATACCCTTATATCAACATTCTGTCTAAAAGTTGAACATTTAAAATCCTCACTGTAAAAGTTACCAAAAAACTTACTTGAAAATTTCATCAACAATTTTGAAGATGGCAGGGTGGCATGCTGCTTGTGGCTATCAAAAAAGAAATGGAAGAAAATTAGACCCTAATTAAGATGCAACTCATACACAGTTAGCTTTCACTGTACAATGTACAACATTGCCAGTGGACACTACTATGCTGCAGTTACTAAACTAGAGATCTTGGACCAAACCCTGTAAAGGGCTCAGCATCCCAGGATTAGACTCCTTAAAAACAACAAGGAAGACACGAGACTGACAGTTACACTAGGCAGACTAGACAGGTCATAAATGTACAGATCTGGGATCTAGAACTGTGTAGACAAGTATCTAGAAAATATTAATGGTGGCAGACAGGTGAAAAGGGGGTTTTATGCATGTATCTCCTGCAGCCAACAGAAAGGAGCAGATGAGCAAACTTTTTTTCCCCCCTTTTCTCTGTATACTAGCCCTGTTGGATGCACTCTGACGTTCTGGTTACATCAACAAAACTAATGACAAGAAATTAATTTGCCTTTTTTTCTCCGTGGTTCAGCAACTACAGTATACACTTTGGTCTGACACATTTTTTCATAATCCCATACCCTTCTATGTATCTTGGCATTTCTAATGTTACCTAAAAACATTTACTGCATCTTAGAGACCAAAAATATGTTTTTAAATTAGTGACTTTTTCAGCCTCTCTGTGCCATTATATAACAGCACACATAAGACCATCACATTTTATGGCCGTTATTAAACGAGATGGTATATTAGTAAATGTAAGCTCCAAAATAAACCCATATTTTTCACTTATAAGATTTAGGTTCTTTTACAGCACTCATAACAGTGGCAACAAAATAAACACTTGCATAAACCCTTATTTTAATTTTTATAAAACAAAAAAGAGTGACAAACATAATTTTTTGATAAAGAAAACACCTAAAGATTTGGTAAGAAAGCAAGTCCTGAAGAATAATTCCATTTTTTTAAAAAAAGTTTCTAATAAAATGCTTTTTATAGACTTCAGGATCCAGGGATGGAATAGTGTTTCCACGTGGTATTTACTGCCATGGCCCTTACTCAAAGTGCCTGAAACACCAGTTTAAATTAAAATTCTGTGCATCTAGTTCAAGCTGAAAAGCATCTAGCACCTTAAAAAAGTGTTGTTTTTTTTAAAAAAACAGCTTATAGGTAAATGGAGAGTTTACCAGACACAAACCTTAAAAAAAAAAAAAATTATAACCATTAGTATAAACTGTCAAGGAAAGCTCTAAAAAGGCCAGCTCCTTGTTTCTCCCAGCTATCTTTACCATATTGGAAATATTAGGTGGCACTTCATTTTCATGTTTTAACACTCATTTTTTCTGTCAGACGGGGTAGTTTTGTTGTCATATTGAACGTATGCCACCTAGTGTTCAAGAGTATTCATAGCCAGCTCTTTAGGCATGTGTGAAAAACAGCATGCGGCTTGTTGCAAGGCTGAAGTCTCCAAACATCCAGGGCTTGGAAGAAAACTATGTGGACGAGTTAGGTGGATGTGATTTTTACAGGAAAATATTGTTATTTTAAGGTACTTTACAAAATATATTGATACCTTTTAGTTTTTTAGGGTAACCATCTTTGTTTTATTTTATTTTTTTCAGCTACAGCATGTATATCTTTTAAAATAACATCATTTGTACATTTGCTTTTAAAAAGACCAATTTTTACATAAGTTTCAGGGCAAGCACCACAAAAGTTTTATGAAATTTTCACTTTATGATACTTTCACGTTCTATCCCATAGATATAATTAGAGTTAAATACAATTTATCATTTTTTAAATTAAGTAACCCAATGAATAGTGTACTGGTTGTATCATTAGTTTTCATATTTAATTCGATACAAACATCCATATTTTGAATTTATCTGAAATTGACATAATTTCCAGCCTTCTGTACTTGAGTTCCATAGGCCTTGGGTCCCTTGCTGCAGAATTTAGGACAAATTTGATACAGAGCTCACAGGGCCTTGACTATAGCTGTTGCTAGTGCTTTGCCTATAGTAGTACAGTGGTAGAAAAGTGACTATATAACCAAATAAGCCATTTACTTGCTGGTGGCGTCAACAGTGGTTACACTGCCACTGGATACTGGAGGACCAAATCCTATTCTTGGAGCAAAGCCCAACTACATGCGCTTTGTGCAAGGAACAGAACTTTTCCATCCAACTCAGTGGCAGGGTGCAGTGAAATAGCACAGTCATTACCAGAGCCCTTGGCTTATTATTATTTATTACTTGCATTATCATAGTCCCTAGGAATCGTAGTAATGGATCAAGATCTCATTGTGCTAGGCACTGTACAAACAGAGAACAAAAAGATGGTCCTTATCTCAAGGAGCTTTCCCATCTAAGGATAAGACATGAGACAGAAGATGGATACAGACAGATGGGGGAGTAGAAGGAAACAAAGAGCCAATATTGGCTATGGCAAAAAAAGTTATTTACCTTACCTGACCGGAGGTTCTTTGAGATGTGTGGTCCCTATCTGTATTGCACTGTGGACACACATGTGCTCCATCTGCCTGGAGCATTTGGAAAGCAGTGTCCATTGGTCCGCACATGCACCCTGGCTCACCTCGCCCCTCCAACTGAGCGGATAAAGGGACAAACTGATCGTCTCTCCATCAAGAATCAGAGAAGACCCAAAGAAGAGGGAAAGGAGAGAAGATAGTGTAATACAGATAGGGACCATACATCTCAAAGAATCTCTACTAACTGTAAGATAAGTAGCTCTCTTTTTCTTTGAGTTGTGGTCCTTGTGTACATTCCACTGTGGTTGATTGATAAACAGTATTCATATAGGAGGTACGATGCACGATCGCAGATGGCAGAGCCGAACAAAGGACTGCTGTTACAAAAGATGCATCAGTGGAGGACTCCTGTACCAAGATATGTATTTAGCCAATATGTGGATTGAGCTCTATGCAGCTGCCTTACAAATATCAAGCAGAGGCACATCTTGAAGTGATGCCATAGATGTTGCTTGAGCTCTTACCGCATAAGGAGGGGGAAGATTACACAGCTGCCAGCAGAGCAAGATACAGCCCAAGATCCATTTCAAGATTCTTTGGGAGGATATAGCCTGACCCCAGCCTCTCTGCTATGATGACAAATAGTCTAGGGCAGTGTTTCGCACTTTTTAATACCAGGGACCAGTTTGCTGCCTTCCTAAAGTGTGTCAGGGAAATTTCAGGGTCTGGCACCAGTCCACAGACCAGTGATTGAGAAACACTGGTTTAGGAGATTTCCTGAATATTTTCATTCTCTGCAGGTAAAAGACTATGGCTCGCCGAACATCGATGGAATAGGGCCTCCTTTCTTCTGAAGATGCGTGAGGCTTTGGGAAGAACACAGTACTTCTTAGTGGATAGACTGGTTCAGGTGAAACTCAGAGACTACTCTGGGGGTGAATTTAGGGTGTAAACATAATGAAACCTCGTTCTTAAGAAATATAGTGCTAGGAGGATCTGCCATCAATGCCCAAAGCTCACAACCCTGTTGGCTGAGGCGATGGCTACCAGGAATGCAACCTTCATGGATAGGAGAGACATAGGCCAAGAAGCTAATGGTTCAAAAGGAGTCTTAGTGAGTACTGAGAGAACAAGGTTCAAGTCCCATTGAGGAGTAGGTAGAAAGGTTCTGATCAGGCCTTTCTAGAATCTGCTAGTCAGAGGGTGGGCAAAGATCGAGTAGCCCTGTGAAGACAAATGATATGCACTGATTGCTGTCAAGTGAGCCTGTTAGAAACCATTGGACAAACCTGATGTCTTCAAGGAAAGAATATAGTCCAGAATGAAAGGAGTATCTGTGTCTTCTGGAGAAATAGGTCTTTGATGTGCCCAGTCAGAGAAATGTTTCCACTTAGCTAGGTGATATTTCCTACTGGAATCCTTACTACTATTAGAAAGGATGTTCTGTTCAGCTTTACACAATTGCTGTAAGAATGATGCCCATCCAAAAAACAGACTCCAGGATGAAGCAGCCATTGTCTGGGATGCCTGATATTGCAGTTCCCTTGAGCCAGGAGATTGGGACGTGTGTAGGAGGTTAGGGAACCAAAACCATCTGAGCCGGCTGGGAACAATGAGAATAACTTGTGCTCTATCCTACTGAATCTCGTGCAAAACTCACAGCAGGAGCGGTAATAGAGGGAACCGATTTTTTCAGCATTTACGCAGACGCCCAGAAAGGAGAGCTTATGGACTGCCAGTTTGGCAAGTACACAGTTTGAAGCCATGCTTGTAGGCAACTAAGATGGAGTCTTGCAAAAGGCGTGAAAGTTTAAGCTTTGGACATTGGGGGTTCCAATCCAGACCAAGCAGCAGTGAGAAGGAACTAGAGAGGAAGTCAGTACACCCCGTCCTTTATTTCCTTGGTAGGAAACACAAGGTGAGCCAGGACACATGTGCAGAGCAGCCACCACTGCTTTCAAAATTCTCCAGCTCCGGGCACATGGAGAACATGTGTACCCACAGTGGAATACACATAGGGACCAGAACTCGAAGAAGTTACTCATCTTGTGCAGTAAGGATGGTTCTTCAAGATGTGTCCCCCTGTGCGTGTTCCACTCTAGGTGTCGGTGCGTCCCTGCGCTGGAGATCGGAGATTTCTCGCAGCAGTACTCAGTCAGGGAAAGGGCGCGCACAGGAGTAGTCTCATGCAGCCGTTGGCACCTCCTGTAGCATGCATTCCCCCCACTGTCCCCTCCGTTCCTTCTCTACTGCAGAGCTCGGCTGTGTGAACTCCGAAGTAGAGGGAAGGAGGGTGGGTAGTGGAGCACCCACAGGGGGACGCATCTCGAAGAACCATCGTTACTGCACAAGGTGAGTAACTTCTTCGAGTGGTGTCCCTGTGGGTAGTCCACTCTAGGTGTTTGTAGAGTAGTACCCCACCAGGGGTAATAGGGGTTTGGAGTTATGTATAAGTATGTGATGAGAGCACTGTAAGGCCAACGATAGAGTCTGAGACAAGGCCTTGGGTGATAGCATAATGCTGTGCAAAGTGTGCTCTGATGTCCTGGTTGCAGCTCTA